TTTTTAATCGAGGGGGTAGGGAGACTTCGGATAAAAACCGAAGAACATACTAGCCTACCGAGGGAGACGTTGGTATTACCCCTCCTCTCAAACGCCATTTTGTTCAACGATTATTGCATCATGCCACGAAATATAAACCAAACTTTGGAGAAACGTTATCATCGTATCGTAACGGTTATTGGATTAATATTATGAATACATGACCATTTGATCTTACCAAACCTCCAGACAAATTTTTTCTTCCGAGGACTCCAACGGAAAAATAATTTGCGAAATTTCACAGACTCTTGTTGATGCGAGGGCATTCAATGAAAACCGTTACTGTGCTAACACCAACGAAATTGTCCAGCTATGTTTGACATCTCTCCCTGGAATCTCGAGAGCAGATCATGTAATTTGTCCAGACAATAACAAAATTATTGAAGTAACATTTCCAAGACAGTATGCAGACACCAAGTCCACTACCTCTCATGCTAAAAACCAGGGAGGGGCGGTGATGATGAAACAAGAAGACTGAGCAAAGTTCTCAGTTACTTTTACAATTGAATCATAGCAACATGGCGGTGGTTATTGATATCGAGGGTTTCAAAGATTTTGGCAACCAGTTTGTCTTGAAAGAATTTGCAGTATCAGCATTGGAGCTTGATGATGATGGAAAATTTCTTCATGAGTCAGTTTTGGTGGATCCACCCCACAAATGGGAGGATTTATTGCTTAAATATCGGGAAATGAATCAGTGGTTGTCCCGTCATTATCATGGGCTACATTGGGATACTCCTGGAGAAATTGAGTATGATAGAGTGAGTGAATTTATCAATGCTATGGTGAAGGATGTTAAACACATCTACGTTCAAGGTCTGGAGAAGAAAAATTGGCTAGAGAAGATTCTCAAGAATGCAATACCTATCACTGATTTGGATGATTTTGGTTGTCCGGTATTGGAGAATGTGGAGGTGGAAATAAAGTGTGTCTATCATCATAATCTTTTTGATGGAGGTCCTATTAATTTTCATTGTGCAGTGGTCAATGTGCAACGTTTGAAGAAGTGGTTTACCAAGTACGATGCTGGGTGCTTGGAGAAATCATTGACAAAGTATTGTCAGACTGGACATTTAAATTCTTTGACGAGTGAGGAAATTTCTTTTCTTCCAAAATGTTTTATAAAAACTGTTGCCAAAGCCACTGTGGATGCAGCTTGGGAGAAGTTATCAGAGAGCATGAAGAAGGATCCAAGCATTGCACGTCTACGTTATTGTCGCACTCATTGGCCCGCTTTGGCAGCGTCTTCAAGCAGTTCAATTCCTCCACCAATAGTAGAGTGCCCTCTGTGTCAATATAAACGTTGGTAGTGTATACAGAGTCTTCATGCTACCACGAGTTCTCCGAAAGAACAATCCCCTCCTCCAGTGAGATCACTGCTCAGAGTCTCCAATATAAAACCTCACCAGTACTATCTTGAATTTCAATAATACC